TAGGTATAATACTTCTCATAAAACATTTCATACTACTAATTTTATATTTTTAGACATTTCTAATCTCTTAGTTAATTTACTGAATGGTCTCAGTTACTTTTTACAACTAACATTGATGTAATAATATTTATTACTATCAGTGACAATTTTTTTATATTATTGTTAGGTTATAATTGGAAAAACTCCAATCATATAGTCTTATTTCTCCAAAATGCAGACAAAGAAAAAAAAACCGTCAACGTTTCGTCTGTATGGTTGAGATTCTTCCAATTATAACTAAACATTTGTGGTCTGTATCTTGGTGAATTTGTCACTGATTTATATTAATGTTTAAATTATGTTTATGTTATTCCTTCCTTACCCTTTCCTCCTCATCTTTTGTTAATTTTCCTTGTTTGTGTCAGTGTAAATAGTTTTTTTTTTTAATTAATTCTTTAAATCGTTTATTCCATTTATTTTAAACTGCTTATAATATCTGTTTAGTATCATTATGATAATAATAATTCGAGATTCATCTCTAGTTGTGTAAAAAATGTGGTATCCTGTTGCCTAAAAGTATCCATATTTTCAGTAAAAATAACTAAAATTAGTTATGCTTTAATTTATTTTTTCCATTGCTTGGTATGTATTTGAGAAACATACATTCATAAATCCACTTCTTATTTATAAAAAAAATGTTGAAAATATTGATTTTTCGAATATGTATCATCCAGAGGTGCCCAAAAGGGGATTTGATGGTGGAACATGAATAAACATTTTTGAGGGGAGCATATTTTAACGGGTTTTTGAATTTTTGAGGGGGGCACATTTCGGTGGGGTTATGAATTTTCAGCACTAGCGGATCCAGGATTTAATTTTGGGGGGGGGCTTCAGCCCGAAAGCTTTTTTTTCATAAAAGTAACGATAATTACTTTGGAAAATACGAAAGAAACTAAGTACCTATACGAACTGGTGTTTAAGTGATTCCTAAAGCCCTTTTAAATGTAATTACACGAATAATTATACTTTAAGAGATAATTTTTTAGTATTTTTTCCGATAAAACATGGTTATATTTTACCATTTTGGGGGGGGCTTCAGCCCGAAAGCCCCCCCCCCCCCCCGTAGATCCGCCCGTGATTTTCAGAATAAAAAGTTCCATACTAAGGAACAAAGGGAAAACAGAACAGAATGCAACAAGTGAAATTGTATATGATCTTTTAATTATACCTTCGCTTGCTCTGTTTTTAAGAAAAGAGGAATAAAATAGCTAGGAATGTGGGTAATAGATTCTTGCGCTATCGACCATCGAGGGAATGGATATCACTGGTATCATCAATATATCAAATATTTTTTTAATATTTAATAATCTTCAAATATCAAATATTTATTAATATTAATATTTATGTTTAAAATAAAGAAACCTGTTAATTTCCTGAATCATACACTCGAAAACATAAATACTAAGATTAGGAGCATTTAGTTGGCCACTTATATATTTCTGTAATAGATATCTTGATAAAAATCACAATTGAGATTCATCTCAAATTTTGTAAAAAAAAAAAAAATATGATTTTATAATCTGTTATCTAAAAGAATCCGTGCTTTTAGCAAAAATAATAGTTCGTGGTACAGATCCCCTTTTTTAAAATTAACATCCGCCTGAAACTTCGTAAATAGTTTCATCTCATTGTAACCTACAACTATTTTATTTACGAAAACTCTTCGAATTGGAGCGTTTTCAATCTGGAGGGGGGGGGAAACTTTGTCTATTTAATTACGTAATAAAAACTCGTAAATATCCATTTGCTTTCTACTTGAATCGTAAGATAAGTTGATCAAAAAATCGATAAAAAACGAGGTCTACAAAAATATTGGGCCGTTTGTCCTACATAACATCGTTAATTCGAAAATTTGGGCGTGCAGGTCACACCGAACGGCTCATATTTTTAAGGCTTTTAGTACCGAAGTAAAGTAGGTTTTTAGTACCTAAGTAACTAAACAAAGTTTGCCCCTCTCCAGATTGAAAACGCCAGAATTCCAAGAGTTTTCGTAAATAAAATAGTTGTAGGTTACGATGAAATGAAACTATTTACGAAGTTTCAGGCTGATGTTAATAATTCGATATAAAGGGGTCTATACCACGGACTATAACTAAAATTAGTAATTTCAAAACTTCAATTTATTTTTTTCCCATTACTTGAGATATATTTAAGAAACATAAATTCACTTCTTATTTATAAAGAAAATGTTGAAAATAATGATTTTTCGAATATGTATCATCTAAATTGATAATTAGAGATCGGACCTTCTGCTGTAAAAATCCAAAAAACATACATAAAAAAAATTGCTAAATCGTCCGTTAATAACCAAAAATAAACACCTGAAAACGTGCAAAAATCATCAATTCTGTTTATTTTATTACTTTAATACATCAAAATCTGATCCAACCTTATGTTGAACTTCTTAATTAAAATAATGTGTGTTAAAATAAACGAGAAAATTATTTAATTTAAAATTATTTTTTTTATTTATTTATATGATATTTACAACTGTATACAAAAAATACATCTGGTAAATTCGCACATGGATATAAATGAAACACATGTTGAGAAACTACCCATTGGTAGCACTCTAATTTTAAAATTAAAATACAACATTGAAAATGAAATTCTTAAGAATTAAAACGAAACTTTAGAAATTCCCTGCAATACTTGAGATTTTTAAAACTTCAAATATTATTGTTATGCTGTTTTTTCTAGATCACTAAAAAAATATTTTTTGGACTTTCTCAAGGATTTTTTTTTCATGAATGAGCGGAATCTGTGATTTCCTATTAAACTGGATCGTTTTTTCACAGGGCGTGAAAAACTGTCTGCTGGAGATAATTTGATATCCAAAATATAGTTTTTGACGAGAGATTAGAATCCTACAAATCGGCATTATTTAATTTCCTTTTTAATTTTTAAGAATAGTGAAACTAGTACTATTCTCTTCAAAGCCAGACACAAAGGGATACTGAAGGGCTGAAAAATGAGAGAAAAATCAAGTAAAAAATAACAATAAATGCCTTTATAACAAAACAGCTTATGATAGAAAGGCTCTTTTTATTGTTGTCCAATACTTCAGGCAAGTTCTATTCCTTAAACGTAATTTTAACGTTTAAAGTAAAGAAACCCGTTGATTTCCTGAATTATATACACGAATACGTAAATAGTATGATTAAGAACATTTAGTCGATCACTTATACATTCTGTAATAGATACTCTAATAAAAAACACATTTTTATTATCACTAGAGAACAGATTTCCATATTATTTCACATTTTATTTGCTCACATGTAAAAACTTCAATCCCTATTATTTATGCGTTTCATGAACTTTAGAATAACATTTTGAAAGCTGATGTTGCACGTTTTGCTGTTTTTGTACTAAATTGCAAGATTTTGATTTTTGTTGCGTCGAATTGCACATTTTTGCACTTTTAAAGCTATATTATATAGTTTTTTAAAGATATATTTATCGTTATATTTTATTATCTTGTCTATATTAAATTTATAATTTAAGAAAGAAAATTATGAGGAAGGTAAATGGTTCTGTAAATAGAAATAGTACGAATTTAACGTTACAAAATAAGATAGTAAACACAAGAGAAAAATATTCTTGGAGTAAAACTTGCCTGAAATATTGGATAATAATAAAAAGCGCCTTTCTAGCATAAGCTTGTTAGAAATGCATTTATTGTTATATTTTACTTGAATTATCTCATTCTCAAAAATTAAATTTTGGATATCAAATTATCTCCAGTTGATATTTAATGGGAAAGTTGTCTTCTGTACACCCTATGAGAAATAACAATTTTAATTGTTTAGGATTGTTGTAGTTTCCTTCATCTGCTTTAACATTCCTCTAATCAAATAAAAATGATAATAATATCATAAGTTTCAAAAAATTGTAACTAATGGTTTACCTCTACAACTTAAATTTCTTAAAAGATATATATTTAAAAAAAATAACGAATTGTTTATCAAAGAAAAAATTAGAGAAATAATCTGAAGTGGTAATATATCTATCATAACATTACCTTAATTTTCCGTAAAGTGAACTAAAAGATTAAATGCTATTTTTGTTTTTTTATAATTAAAGGACTCCTGATTTTCATTTAAATTGAAAACTTGGCTTATACCTAGTTAAGACATTTATTGTGAACAAATTTTTAGATGAAATGATAAAACAAATACATATGACTAAAATAATTTCTTACTGAAATAAACTGCTGTAATGGAAATAAACAATGTCAAAGCTATATTGGAACTGGGGAAACAAGATTTATCAATTATAAATAATTATATATTAAATTAATTTAAACAGTTCACTATTTTTTTATAATTATGAAGAAACTATATTAACCACCTGTAAACAATTCCGAACTAAACCATTTCATTTTTCATCCTGAATATTTGTATCCTCATTGAATACGAATTTGGCCAAAAGAGAACTGCTCCTATAGCGTTTCTATGCACCTGTATATCTACATAAGTACCATAACATAATTTTAAGTTTTGTAACCAATTATGAAGAGTAAAAAATTGTAATTTAGTCCTGATTTGACTCTACAATGATTTAATATTAATTTAATCTAAATAAATCAATTTAAGATTTCCTTAATGAAAAAAAAAATATTTGAAGCAAAATAGAAAACAGGCTATAACATTACTCAACAATTGCTTATAATCATCCCAAAAAGATCACCTGTTCATAACTCACTTCTCAATATTCAATTCTACTTCCAGGACAAATGTTTTTTCCCTACATTGAATATGAATTTGTCCCGAAGGAAATGACAATTAATTAATTAATCCTTATTAGCTTCAGTCATTCAGTCATCTCCAGGTTCTGAATATTTAATATTCTAATCTGAAGGGTAATTGGTTCATTAATAAGGAGATATTTTCATTAAGGGGAGTTCTTATAAAGTGGATTGAAAGCATAGGCCATCAGAAAGTAAGTGAGAGTCGTCAAAGATGGGCTTCCAAGATGCGATTGGAGACTCCGATGTCATCGACGGTCTGAGTATCAGGTTTCTCAAACTGATAGGGTTATGGAATGCCATCAACAGTTATAGGACCACAGGGAAGAGAGCCTCAGTTCCCAAAATCCATTTAATAGGGTCACTTCTTATAACGATCCCATATTTTCTATGTCAAGTGCAAAGCTTCTTCAATATAGAATTTGACATTCTGAAAGTTACAACTTTATACTTGCATCCATTACCCGCTGCTTCTTTGTGCTGTAGGATTCTAATATTTTGGTATCGCATGGAAAGTATTTCCAGACTTTATAACTTGATGAGAAATGACTTTTTCAATATTCCACATCAGATTAGAGCTGATGTTAAAAGAATTTATAAAAAGATCAGCAGGATGTCTAACTTTGGGTGTATGGTTACTATTATATGGCAAACTGACGCAGTGATATTGTTTCTATTTTTTCCTGGCATGTCTGTTGATTACATACAACACCACACCGGGAGTATGGCTGCTGTCAAAACAGGGAGAAAGAAGATATTTGGTGGCTGGTACCCTGTACCAATGAGCGAGTTCTTTTAACATCAAAATTATGAAATTATATTTTTTTATGAAGTTATATGTCTGTTTTGGGCTGCGGCACTTTTGGCTGTTTACTGTAGTTTATTTTTTCAAATATTAATGTGCCTTTATGCTCAATATGTTGTACTTGGCTTACGCTTATCGAGTTTGAAACTGGATACTGCTGAAAATTCCCCAAGAAAACACAAAAGACATAAAAAAAACAATACCAAAATTTATGAAGAGTTGCGTAAAATATTTCTGGAACATCAAAAAATTTTAAGGTTTTTTTTTGTAAATAATATAATGTATTTTAAGCCTGAACTTTTAATGCAATAACGGTTTACATTCTACAGGTACACTGATGAACTCAGGAGTGTTTACAACCCAATGGTAACAACAACTCTTGGACTTGGTATCATTGTTTTGATATTTGCTGCTGTATTGATCTCACTTGTAAGAAAGACTATTAATAATAGAATGATAAAAAATAAACTCTATTATTTATAAATAATTATGTATTTATTGCTGGATTTTCATTAGGGGAGCGATCCCAGTGTCTTATTTCAAATTGCCCAGGTGTTTTCGTTTGTATTTATTGAAGTGTCTTTGTTCTGCTTGGGATCTTCACTAATTGAGACAGCGGTAAGTAATAGATCATGTATAAAGTAATAAAAAAAGAATGTATTAAAAAAAAAAAATTTCAACTCTAATCTTACAACTTGACTATTTTTGGTAAGTCTTTCTCATGAAAATTTTTTAGTAATATTAAAATTTAATATTTTCATGATTCTAGAAACTAAAGTTGTGCTTGAAAATAATAAAAGAAATATAATTCATTAAAAAACAAACAAAAAATGATCTGATGATTTTATCTTCTTTCATTATCTTTTACTGGAAAGAAATTAAAATTAAAAAAAATTACCCAATTTTTTTCAAATATGTTGGGAAAAATAGACTCACTATACTTGTACTGTTATGGTTGTAAATGTGTTAAGGTAATATTTAAATAACTATGCATAATTATATAATTAAAAAAAAATTGTAATTAATCATTACAAAACCAAAGATCGGAAATAAACAGCATTAAGATTGTATTTTAAATTAGTACAAATGATATTGATCTACTGTATCTTCTCTTTGTTTAATTATTTTTATCATAGCTTTACTTTTTTCACCTGTAGTAAAAAAACAAAATAAAGTAACATAATAAAGGAAGAAATTTTATTAATATTGATTATCAATTAAAAAAAACAACGTTTGTTTAAAAAAATAAAATAGAATTATCTAATGAACATAAATATATGTATATTTTTTTTTTTTACTGAATTTTACAGAATTTGTGTGGTTTAAATAATATTCTCCCAGGATGTGATAAAAGCAAACATTTATGTTCCATTTGTCATTGTTTCGGGATCTCAGGCTATCTTTACAGACAATTTTTTTTTTTTTTTATGGTACCAATACAAATAGCATAAAATATATTTATTTTATTTTTATAATATAAAATATTAAAATTATTTTTATAAAAACATGTATCAGTTTACCTTGGTTATAATTTCTATTTTATACAATAAAAATTGCAAAATTAATTTCAATGTCACTTGTTAATCGATAACAATACATTTGGACATATTCTAAATTTTGTTTATAATATAAAATTACATTTTATGTAGAGAAAGAACTAGGAAATCTAAGGGAGTAGTGCACTGCACCCTCCCTGAAACGTGAGAAAAAATTTTACTTTGAAAAAAATAACTACACATCCGCCGCTTTTGTTGTTATTAATCTAATTGAAAAATAAATTGTATTAAACAATTTATTTTGATTTTTAACATAAACTAAGTATTTGATGTTTTAAATTATGAGCTTGCTGAGGATTGACAATATAATAACTACTGGTGTGTTGTTATGTTATTACGTATGTGTTAATTTACTGCTGTTTTTTTTTTTTCATTTTGTTTTGTTATTACTATTCTTCTATTTAAACTATAATTTATTCTCCTTGATATCATATTTGATGAATATCAAGGTAGATTGAAAATTTATTGTGAGCCAGGAATATGTGTAACTAATAAATAAATTAAATAAATATTTTTAGTATTTATAAACTATATTTTTTGTAATGTATATTGCTTTTCATATTTTTTGTAATTTTTTTTTTACTTTTGACATTATCTAAAATTTTTGTATTTTCAAATTCAAAATTTTGATTATCTATTATGCTGTGTTGTAATAATGAAGTAATAAAAAAGTGGTACGATTCTCACCAAATCAGTCCAAATTCTAGCCAGATAGCATAGTACCATAGTCAGATCCCATAGGGTCTTAGTAAAGACCTTCCTAGCAAAAGAGGCAGCTGGATAGAAAACGGGTCTAATATATTGTGGGTCTTACATATTATTTAATATAAATTGCTTCTCCTATATTCCTATTTTTTGTAAATATATATAACAATATCTAAAATTTTGATATTTTCAAAATCAAAATTGAGGTCTTTATTATGCTATGTTGTGATAATTCAGCTGTACTGTTTTTTTTTTTTTTTTTTTTTTTTTTTTTTTTTACAATTACTTTTACATTGTGAGATTATGATGCAGGGTATGTATTTTGTTTTCTTATTAACTTAAAAATTTCAAAGAAATTTAATCTAAATGTTTCCATATAGAATACTAAGGAACCAGTAATGAAAATAATTCTCTTCTTCTTATCCTTTGTAACTTCTCTCTTTTCAACCACAGAGCTCAGAGCTAGACTTCGCCATTTACAGCAGCGAGTGGTATAAGGCTGATGTGGAGTTCAGGAAGGCGGCCCAGATGTTGATGGTACGAACAAGAAGAAATGCTAACCTCACTGCTCTAGGGATGTACTCAGTAAACTTGGAAACATTGGAAGCAGTAAGTTGGAATAGCATATTTTGTAATTACTAAATTAATTTATCCACTCATAAAAAATTATAGTATCTAGCTATAAGGGGACTGTTCTATATTTAGCTTTAATCCACATCATATATTTACTTCAGCTAAGGAAAGTTCATGTTTCTTTAAAAGAAAATGGTAGTATATATTTAGTTGCATCCAGTAAAATTATATGTATATAATTTTACAACTATATATATATATATATATATATATATATATATATATATATATATATATATATATATATATATATATATATATATATATATAGTTTGTGTATACTGTAGTTAAAAATTTCTGTATCATCCTTCAAAGATTCCTCCCTAATAGAAAAACAACAATATATAGCTAATATTTCTAAATAAAACTTAACTAGTTATTACAAGATAATAATAGAATATTTTCAAAAAATTTTGGATTTTAAAAGGATATTTTTTCAGAAGTATTTCAGATTTTAAATACCTGAATTTAGAAAAATCACAATGTTAGAAAAAAAGATCCATTACTAAAAACGATACGGCCTGAAACTATGTAGTGAAACTATTTATTTTTTTCAGCTTGATAAACCAAATATCAATCAGAAAATAAGTTTTGAGGTTTTCCAATCAATATTCCTCTTGTGTATATTCAGAAATACAAACCAAAAATAATATTTGAAATATTACATCTTTCTCTTAATCAATCAGTAAAAATTAAACAAAAATTCATATCCATAAAATATAAAATACCCGTTCTACTTTACGAACAACTTTAGTTTTATCAATTAGTCTTATAGGATTTTGCAGTTTAGTTGTCAATATATTTTGTGTACAGAATTGTCATAATTTATTATAATTTTCTTAAGATTGCATTTATAATGAAAGTAATATTGTCAAGATCTTTTAACTTACAAAAATAATTAATTTCCAATGAAAGTAGGATTATAAGTGAAAGTTCTGAGATATATTATTTTTTAACTAACCAAATTTTGGAATGGAAAAGTCTGAGCACTGTTCAAGAATAAATTTCCATTTCTTTCTTAACATCAATATTTGTTTACATAACTTATTAACAAGGGTATAATTGTATTTTTTACTACACATTTAATTTCTTACAAACTGATCTACTTAAGCTGTAGGATTTCTACAATATAATGGAAATAATAATAACAGGCATTTTCTATGTGCTAACTTCAAAATATATTTTTTTAGTTTTTTCAATTGTAGTTTTAAAATATTTCATTTGGGTGTCTTGAAAGGTGAGAAACTAATACAGGTATTTTACTTGCTGTATTTCATGAAGTAATTTTCCTCGGAATGTCAGTGTATGTTTGTATTACTTGTGGTTGTAAGTGTCCATGATTTTTAAGTTATTAAGTAATTATAATATACATAGATACGTTCCTCTATCAAATCATCAACAATCATCGTCCTTCTTATGCCTACAACCTCTTCCAATTCAAGCCCTCAGTCCATTCCCTTTCCACAAGATCTTGACCTTCCAATCTTCACATGCCTCTCACAGATCTGCCTCATTCCAAAACTCCTTTATCGCTCGCTCTGTCAATTTCTGGAATTCCCTCCCTATGAAAATTCGGCATTCTCCCTCCATATCTACATTCAAAACTCTCCTATCCCAAAAACAATCAGAAAGTTGATAACCATTCATTATTATACATTTATTTCATACCATTCATTATCAAATATTAATGCCTGCTAGGGATAATATTGGGTTGGCAAATAAGTCCTTTCGGTTTTTCTGTTTATTTTTATGCCACTATGATGCACTTCTTATCTGATGAATTAATCCCTAAGGTGGATTGTTTATACTGTTGGTAATATGTCAACAACTATACCTGTTAACTCTTGTTGAAACTAGCTTTGTATTGTGTTTGCAATTACACTGTGGATATGGAAGAAAATATCATTCATTATCGGCATATTTTGTTGTGTCATTTTAAAAAAGTTAAGCGTGCTGCAGTAGATCATAGAAAAATTTGCTGGATTTATGGGGATGATGCCTTAACCGAATACACCCGTCGAAATTGGTTTGCCATATTTCATTCAGAAAATGTTGACATCAATGATGCTCAACGTTCTGGTTGCCAGCAATGTTAAGGCCATTGTTGATCAAAATTCTACCCAATCAGTGCGAGAGATTGCTATGACCCTAAATGTCTCACACACAAGCATAGAAAACCACTTCCACAAGCTCTCCTATGTTTCCAGGCTTAGTGTTTGGGTCTCTCATTATCTAACCAAAGTAAACTTGGCAACACACATTTCTGTTTGTTATTCACTACGGAAATGGCAACAAAACGACCCATTTTTGAAAAGGTTGGTAACAGAAGATGAAAAATAGTTATTTTATGATAATGTAGTATATAGAAAATCTTGGGGACCTAGTACCTTCCAGAAGAATGTCAAAACCCGGATTGCATCCAAAGAAGATAATGCTTTCCATATGGTGGGATTTCAAGGGTGTTATTTTCTATGAGCTATTGTCATCAGGACAAACAATTGATTCAACTCACCAATTAACAAAATTTGATCAATCAATTAAAAATTAATGCCCAGAACTGGCTAATCAGAAGGGTGTTGTGTTCCACCAAGTCAACGCTAGGCCCCATACCTCATTGGTCACTTGCAATAAATTATTGATCCTTGGATGGGACCTTTTGCCTTTTGCCTTTCGCCCTTATTCACCAGACCTAGCTCCAAGTGACTACCACTTATTCCGGTCTCTGCAGAACTCCATGAACGTAAAGAAATTCCAAAAGGAAGAGGACATTAAAAACCACTTGGATCAGTTTTTTAACAATAAACTCAAGACATTCTATGAACATGGCATTATGCAGTTAGTGGAAAGATCGGAAAAAGTGCTATTAAATTAAGTTGTTGTTGATTAGGGCTAATCCCTATTAGCCTAATCCCGTGGTCATCTACGCCTATCTAATCTTTCATATTAAATAATGGTCAGTATATTGTAGATTAAAATAAATTTTATGTCTATAATACATTGAGTTTTATTTCACCCTGAAAAACTGAAAGGACTTATTTGCCAACCCAATAGATTTTCTACTCCTGATGCCACTGAATGCATCTATTGTTTGTTTTAACTATTGTTTTTTATACACCATTAATTTATTGCCTATCGTCATGTCAAGAAATGATAATGATGTATTATTCAGCATTTAAATGATAATGTATTTGTATATTACTCAGGCACTTTATATTGTCAGATTCAGCTTTAATTTTTCTCAGTGAAAGTAAAGAGCTTATTTTAAGGAAGAATTTGATATATTTTTATTGTTTTCTTAAAAGAGTATTTTTATACAGTTTTATGACTGTAAATAGTTTTAAGTGTCTTGTCATAGTTGGAAGTGTTTTGTGTTTAGTTTCATTTGTTTTATATGTAGCATGTTTACCTATTATTTTCTTTACTTTGTTTCTATTGTTTTTATTTAGGCCAGAAGTAATCTTTTAATTTTGTTCTATCTTGTTATTCTCAGAGGACTTTGTCTCAGAAATTTTCTTCTTTTGTTCTTTAAATTTTCTATCTATCTACCTGATTACAAAGTTTTGTATATTATTAAATATTATTAATATTTGATTATTTTTGTTTTCAGATTTTGCAATTCACCTACTCTGCCACTGCTTTGACTCTTGGCAATATTTAATAATATTACATTTTAATAGTTTATGTTTTATTTTTATATTTGATCATTAATGATTGTGAAAGCATAGTTTTCTAGTGTTATCTTTAAATAAATTGAATGTGTGATTTGATTATAATTAAATAATTATAATGAAACATTTGTATATTTATATTTGTATATTTGTATATTTTCTATATTTAATCAAAAATATTAAATATAGAAAATTAAATTTTTTTTTAAATACATAGCTATAACTGTAATTAGATAACTTAATAATGATAGCTATATGATTGTAATTATTATATATTACTATAATGTTAGTATTATTATTATAGTCATTTAAAAATATTATTAAAGACATACAAATGATGGATGGATTTCATAAAAGAAATAGTATGTTACATTGATGTCATTTTTTTAGTATTATAATGAATAAAATATTCTTTGTTTATTTATTACTATGGAGAGTGGATATGACAATAAGTCAAATATTATAAATATATAATATATTAAATATGTTATCATTTTGTTCTTTATACTTCGTAATAAAATTATTCTAGTATAAATCGTATTATTTATCAAATATCCCTCTTATATTATTAGAAAATTAATGTATTTGTATTTGTAATAAGGTGGAGGGAGAAAAAAAAAAAAAATGCTTGCTGAATTTTCAGGAAAATTCAGTTCTCAGGATTTTTAATACCATTGGATTCAAATCTGAGGTAAACTTTAAAAAATGAAGCATTCTGATTCACTTTGACTACTCCAACTACCTAGGGTTCTATGGGGAAGAAGGAAGGAGAAGGGAGGCTTTTGGGCTGAAGCCTCCCCCAAAATGGTAAAATATTACCATGTCTTATGAATAAAATATAAAAAAATTATCTCTAAAAGTATTATTGTTCGTATAATAATATTTAATTGGACTTCAAAAATCACTTAAATACAATCTCGTATAGGTAGTTAGTTTCTTTCTTTTTCTTCCAAAGTAATTATCGTCATTAATTAAAAAAAAAAAAGAAATCTTGGGATGAAGCTCCCTCCCCCCCAAAATAAAATTCTGGATCCGCTAGTGACTCCAATCAAATATGTTGTTAAGAAAGAGAAAAGGAAAAGAGCTTCTCAATAATTTGAAAAACCATTAAATAGAAAAATTTGAGTTTTGGAGACATTTTAAAAGGTGAAAATTCTGATAAAACACTTTAGTCATGAAGTCACTAAAATTTAGAATCAATACCATTCAAATTCATAAATTTTGATATTATCGACAAAAATTATTTATCAATTGTGTTGTGTATATGATTTCAAAATAATTGGGTTTCTATTTATTTTATTTTATATTTCATGAACCTAAGGCTGTTAGATCAGCATTTCTTTATTTGCCTTATAACATAGTTATTTTACAGACAACTTGTTTGCCCAGCACTTGGCTTGCCAAGTCTGAAAACTATTGTAAAATTAAAACAATTTTAAAATTATACAATAAATATAAAAGACATTGATGTTATAATTTATATTTATAAAATAATTATTCAACTGCTCTATTTTAACTATATTTAGTAAGTATGTATGTTTTCTAATATTTATTATTTTTATTTATAATATTTATATTTTTACAATAATATTTTCTTAGTGATGTGTGTTAAGTAAAGATATAAAGATAGTTAGAGTAAAGCAATAATAAAATATATAGATATATAACTTATGTACATGCTTGGAAATAGGAAAATGAATATTGTAAAAGACAAATGCTTACTAAATAAGGATAAAATAGATCTGATGAATTGTAATTTTATATAAATAAAATCTAAAATTAATATTTTTTAATTATATATTTTTATAATGTTTTTTTTATATTGAAAACAAAATTCAGACTTGAAAATGGCCCAAGTGCTGGCCAGGACTTTTGTTTTTATAAGTACATATTTGGTTATGAAATTGGTTTTATAGAAAGAAAATATTATGTAGAATGGTATTAATTAGGTTAAAAAAAGATAGTTTGTCTAATATCATTCCTGGCAAGACATTTAATGAATTTGGATCAAGTGAAACCAACTGGAAAATGGCTTATTATTATTTTATATTTTATATGAAAATAAAGTGTTTCTCTCTAGCTTGGCTCTACAATCCGGTGTCGAATCCTGGCCTCCTCCAGCAACTTCAGCCAATTGTCTTGGTCCTCTGCAGCCACCATCCAATTCTGAAACTCCAGCACACACGTTAGCCTGTTCGGCTACCTCACCCACGTACAGTCATACCTATATACAATATATACAATTAGGCAGAGAACCCCAAGCCCGGCTTGTCCCTCCAACTATAGAGGGAAAAGCAGGATTCCAAAAGATCCCTGGGCTACTCTCTCAACAACATCACTGGTGCTAATAAAGCCAGTGGAAATTGCATGAGAGTGCTTTAGCCACTTACACTCATATCTTGAGTGGAGAATCCGGCCGTTGCCAGAACTCCAAGATATATAATACAAATGATCTCTGGGCCACTGCCACTTCAACCTTCAAGGAGAATTGTAGGAATGAGTGGAACTAGATAGGAATCGTGCAAGAGGATTTGGATGATTTGTAAGGTTTTGATGGAATTTGGAAAAATTTTCAGGGATAAGATCTAGGATAAATGGAATATTAAGATCATGATATAGTGTTTTGTTCTATACATAGAATGGAGGACTTTGGACTGAAAGGATTGGATGTGTTTGGTAGGAAAAAAAATTTTTTCCCAAAGTTTATGTCTGTAGGTGCAAATAGGTTTCAGGATTGTCTTGTAGATCAGAAATTCTTTTCTTTTAAGTCTAGTATGTGGGTTCCACGTTAGTCTTCGGTCTAAGAGAAAGCCAAGATACAGCCAAGACTGTGTCTGAAAAAGGAAGCTGGGTGGAATTAAAGCGGACTGGGGAACAGGATCTGCGCTGGGGTAGAAATCAAGTAGTAAAATTAAATCCTGTTTAATGTCAGCTAGATTTTATCCTACTTGATGTACTCCAAAGGTACTTTAATTTCGAATTTTTAAAATGTTTACCTTTAAACTACCTTTAATTTGGTTTATTTAAAATGATTTAATATTTCTTGTTGTCATAAGTGATAAAAAATGAATCAATACAAATCATGAAAGAATTTGATAGTTAACTAAAGGAAAAAGTATGGAAAATGAGTTCTCAGGATGAAATTAAATTTCTCGAAATCATAGTCTGAATATATTTGTATAATATTTAGTCGTCAGTACTGACTCCGTTTTATGAATTTATTAACATCCGTCTAAAACTTCGTGAATAGCTTCATCCAGTCGTAATCTACTATTTTTTATTTACGAAAATTGTTGGAAATGGGATATTTTCAACCTTGAGATCGGTAAACTACATTTTTTTTTAAAATTCACAACTGTATTAAATGATAAATACAAGTAAATATGAAATAAGTAACATGACATGTACAACATGAAGAGAAAGAAGCCATTGGTAGCACTCCAATTATATTTCTATATTAGAAGGTCCCGAGACAATCTTCTTTTCAAAGATCTCGGGAGGTTATCAGGAATAGAAGAGGAAGCATGGCTGGAAACAAGAGGGTTCGGATGGTTAAGAAGTTTGTTGTGGAAGGAAAGGTGTCTGGATTGAGCTAAATCAGAAACACATGATACATTAAGGTCTTTATGGATGATCTTTTTTATGACGAAGTAGGGAGCATTGAGGATTTTACGAAGGATTTTGTATTGTAAGGATTGGATACGAGAGAAATTTGATGGTTTAGTGAAGTTCCAAAGCTCGATCCCGTAATTCCAAATAGGCCTTATAATAATAATAGTGAAGGTAGGAAAGTCTTATATTTGTATTAATACGAGAGATTGCAAAAATGTTTATTTTCAAAGAGGTAAATTTCCACGCCTGATTTCCTTTTTAGAGATCAAAAAACAAATTTAAAAAGTCTCTCCGTAGTCGTATGAACTGTAGATCGGTACGGACCCATTAATGTTAGATAGGATTTAAATCTGGACTTTGAAGAGGAGTTTCATGTTCAAAATTACCAAGAGAACTTAGGGCTAAAAGTTATTATCCTGTAAAATTTGAATATCCATTCTATACCTATTGTTTACACACCAGCTTTAACAGTTTACAAGAACAACATCAGGAAAACAACCCGGGCAAGATAGGATTCGCAGGATACTGAAACAATACGAATTTAAAGTCAGAATCCATAGAAAAATACCTCCCACATATTCAATGAATAAGAAAAATAGCTTGGCTTTTTTCAAAGATTGTATCAGATAACTTTAGGGTTACTTGAGTGTAATATGTTCAGATGATGATAAATTTAATATCGATAGTGTGAAGGAAAGCTGGAAAGGAATTAAAGGAGAAGAATTTGTCTGCTACAACGATAGTGGTGGCACTACCAAAAGTTAGTGTTCTTCTGAGGGTATCTCTGGGGATAGAATCATTAATTCGATTTTTATCGATGGAGTAACCAAGAAGTATACATTTAAAAAGAATGATGAATCTAATGGATTTAAGAACTTTTAATAGCAAAAGTATGCATAGAATGAATATCTCCTATCGAGATATTAATTTAAAAAGTTTGACTAAAATTAACACAAAATTATTATATAATATGAATAGGTAACATACCTTTTACTACATTAAAATTCCATTTTTTCACTTAAAATTTTATTGCAAATATATGTATTTATTGATAGGAAAATTTTCACTACCGTCAAAAGGAATTTATGGATTTCAATGAAGCTTTGTTTTGTGATACTAGGTAGAAAAATATTAAACACATGTCTGATGGTTTTTGCCAATGCGCTAGGAGCAAAGATTCAATACGAAGCTTAATTTTATTTAATAAAATTTAAAGATTTTTTATATTAATGTTTTTTTTTGTCTTTGCTGCGCTTGAATTTCTATGTTGTAATAAATCATTCGATCTTTTTTTGTGTGCAAAAGAAGTAAAAGTAAAATGAATAATAAATTTTAAATAATCAAAAGATGCTTCCAGTAGGTCAAGTAACTTTTTGCCATGAAAGAATGATTGAGGTTCTTTTCTAGCGTAATTTAAAACACTTACATAGGCATTTGTTTTGAAATAAAAAAAACTTATATTCGAAAATTTTCACGATCGCAATACTTTCCGTTACTATATTTTGCTTACATGGATAAGTGAAAGTTCAAAAATATAAATTGTTGGACTTGATTTTATAGGAGGATTTTTTTTATGTGGATAGGTGGAGTAATATAAATTTAATAATATCTTAATAAACCTTAAAAGGCCGATAAACAGATTTATCGGCCAATTTTTATTTTATTTTATTCTACTAACAAGCTTTCATTTTTTTTTTCTTCATCGATTTTCTTTCAGTTTTAATTAGAATATTCTGCTTATTGTTGAATGGATGTCTCAACCGATCTAATAGGGATCGATGGGTAGAGAAATTTAAGCAGGCCGATATTTCTTAAGTTTAATCGTAAAGATTTACTTGAAACACTCTACTTTTTGCTGAATAAACGTTTCAGATAATAGTTTAAATATACCGGTTTTGTTTTCGTCCATCGATTTTTCACTGTTTCATTTGGAATATTCTACTTATTGCCGAATGAATGCCACAATCGATCTTATAGGGATCGGTGGATAGAGAAATTTTAGCAGGTGCCCAAATTTCTAAAACCAATATATCGGCCTATCAGTCTTTCTTCCGTTTTTTCTCTTTTTCTTTTTTTTTTTTCATGGTTGATATTGTTTCACTTGGAAAATTCTCTTGGAGGATTAATAAATGTGTCAATCAACCGCCTTGAAATCGATATATTGCCTTTAAAACATCAGGTTGTATTATATTTTATCTTTCAGCGTATTATTACATTAACTCTATGGAACTATAATTAATAAATCATCTATCTCAATCAACTAATTTAAATGGAGAATCACTTCTCTTAGAATTAACTCAACCCATTTATACAGGAAGCATAAATCTGGCCTACATTTTATTTTTAATAAAGATGTATTTTTTTACCATTAAGAAAATTAAATATGTCGACATATCGGTATTTAATGTCGACTAGAAGGCTGATATGCCGATATTGATATCTGTACAACTTTAATTTCTCAAAAGTTACAAATTGAAAAAAAAAGGAAGAACAAATCGTTTATCCAATGAAGGATTAGAGAAATAATCTGAACTGGTATTTTACGACATTATATTAATTTTTCGTAGAGTGGACGGAAACATTTCAAGTTTTTTTATAATTAAAGGACTCACGATTTTCATTTAAATTGAAGACTAGACTTTTATCTAGTTAAAACATTTGTTGTGAACAATTTTTTAGATGAAATAATAAAACATATATAAATGACTAAAATAATTTCTTACTGGAAAAAATCACTTTAATGAAAATAAATAATGTTGAAGCTATATTGGAACTGGGGAAACAAGATTTATCTATTAAAATTAATTATGTATTATATTATTAGAAACAGTCAATTATTTTTTTCAATTATCAAACAATGATATTAACCAACTGCATACAATTCCCAAGTAAAACATTCAAATTTTCATTTATGAAAAGCAACCTTAGTTAGATTATTCATATTTTTAGATTAAAAAGGAGTTTTTGATAAATAAATAATCATATATAGATTGAATATAATAATTCAATTTTTCTTTCAAGACATTTTATCCATCATTGTATATGAATCTGCCCCCAAGGGAACTGATCCAAGGATAAAGTTTTTATACAGTTGTATATCTTCTTCTTTAAATATACAGTGGGTTAAAAAAGTAATGGCACGCTCCAATTTTTATGGAAATCTCAATAGGATTAAGATATTTTCCAGAAATAATATTTATATAACAAAGTGGTCTTTCAGTATTATATATTTGAAACAATACATGTTCAGAATTCAAAAGCTATGTTTAAAATAAAAATAAAGAGTAAATTTTGAGGGTCAAAAAAGTATTGGCACAGTTTTAAATGTTTACTATTAGCTTCAGTCAAGGCAAATTACTCCTTTCTCTTTCGGGAGATTAGAAATGACGATTGATGATAATACAAAGAAAATTATGAAGAAACTATATTAACTACCTGTAAACAATGCTCGCTCAACTTAAACATTAATTGTTCTTTCAGGACATTTTTGCTCTCATTGAATACGAATTTGCCCCAAAGGGTACTGCTCCTATAGCGTTTCTTTACACTTGTATATCCTTATCTGAACCAACATACTTTTATAATTTCTAACCAGTTATGAAGTTTAGAAAAAGAATTAAAAGAAATTAACTGATCAATTTATTATGTTTAAAAAAAGTCAAATTTGTAATTTATTCCTAGTTTGAATATACAATGATTTCTTCTTAATTTGAACTAAATATAACCAACTTATATAAATTTAAGATTTCCTTAACGAAAACAAATAATTACAACAAAGTAATTTGAGGTAAAATGAAAAAAATAGTAAACAGGCTAGAACATTACCCAACATTTTTTTATTATCATCACAAAAAGATATTGATCACCTGTTCATAACTCACGTCTCAATATTCAATTCTACTTCCAGGACAAATGTTTTTTCCCTACATTGAATATGAATTTGTCCCGAAGGAAATGACAATTAATTAATTAATCCTTATTAGCTTCAGTCATTCCCCAGGTTCTGAATATTTAATATTCTAATCTGAAGGGTAATTGGTTCATTAATAAGGAGATATTTTCATTAAGGGGAGTTCTTATAAAGTGGATTGAGAGCACAGCCCAACAGAAAGTAAGTGAAAGTCGACAAAGATGGGCTTCCAGGATGCGATTGGAGACTCCGATGTCATCGACGGTCTGAGTATCAGGTTTCTCAAACTGATAGGGATATGGAATGCCATCAACAGTTATAGGACCACGGGGAAGAGGGCCTCAGTTCCCAAAATCCATTTAATAGGGTCACTTCTTATAACGATCCCATATTTTCTATGTCAAGTGCAAAGCTTCTTCAATATAGAATTTGACATACAGAAAGTTACAACTTTATACGTGCATCCATTACCTGCTGCCTCTTTGTGCTGTAAGATTCTGATATTTTGGTACCGCATGGAAATTATTTGCAGACTTTATAACTTGATAAGAAATGACTTTTTCATTATCCCACATGAGATTAGAGCCGGAGTTAAACGAATTTATAAAATGATCAGCAGGATGACAAACATATGGTGTATGACTACTTTTTTATGGGTAGCTGGTGCAGAGATATTGTATTCATTATTTCCTGCCATGTCTGTTGACTATATACAACACCACACCGGGAGTATGGCTGCTGTCAAAACAGGCAGAAAGAAGATATTTGGTGGCTGGTATCCTGTACCAATGAGTGACTTCCCTTATTATGAAATTATATTTGTATATGAACTAATATGTCTGTTTTGGGTTGCAACACTTATGGCTGTTTACTCCTGTTTATTTTTTCAAATATTAATGTGCCTTTATGCTCAATATGTTGTACTTGGATTACGCTTATCAAGTTTGAAATTGGTTCCTCCTGAAAATTGCCGAAGAAAACGCAATAGACATAAAAAAAACTACAATACCAGAATTTATGAAGAACTATGCGAAATACTTCTGGAACATCAAAATATTTTAAAGTATTTTATTTGTAAATATAAATTATTTTAAGCCTGCAGATTTAACGTAATAACAATTCTCTTTCTACAGATACACTGATGAACTCAGGAGTGTTTATAACCCAATGGTGACAATAACACTTGGACTTGGTATCATCGCTTTGATTATCACAGCTTTACAGCTTTGGCTTGTAAGACAAATATTAATAAATAAATGGTAATAATAATAATAACAAATAAAATTTATTACTTATAAATCATTACTTACTTATTGGTTTTAGGGAAGCGATCCCAGTGTCATATTTCAAATTGCTCAGGTGTTTTCATTTGTATTTATTGAAGTATCTATGTTCTGCCTAGGGTCTTCACTCATTGGGACAGTGGTAAGCAATAGATTATATAAAAACTAAGAAAAAAGAATATATTTAAAATACTATTATAAAAAAAGTTAAAATAATATTTTTAACTCGATTCTTAAAACAACTATTTTTGTTAAGTCTTTCACATGAACATACTACAGTGCTATTAAAATATAATTTTTCATGCCTCTAAATATTGAAGTTGTGCTAACAAATGTTCATAAACTTACTAAAAAGGTTATAAATTTCTCAAGCAAATACACAATATTTGATATTGTGTATCTTAAAAACTTACCAACATTGATCAATACTCAACTCTTTTGTAAAAAAAAAAAATTATTGCAGACTTCTTAAACTTTTACAAAATTTATTTTTGTTTTGAGAAAAAACAGTAAATTTGTAAAAAATTAACTAATAATGATGTCAATCCATTGCAAATCCATTTTGAATTAGTTAACACACAATATTGCTGAGGACCTGGGTGAAAGCAATCACATGATTTCAAGTAATTTTCCTTAAATAACATTTATTTTGAAACAAATTTTCTCAAGAGTAAGAAAGGCGTACAGAAAAATTAATATTATTTTTAGGCTTATTATGGTAAATAAATATATTATAAAAACATTGAGAGTATTCATAGTTTTCAAAATTATATGAATAGTAAAATTACATAAAAAAAAAAAATAAATAAAAAAAAAATAAAATAAAATAAAATTGTTGACACCTCATACACTCGTTATTTTATCTTTATTTTTTTTTTGTTATTTTGTCTCACCATTTTTACCCTTTTTGAATGTAGATGGAATAAATGTTTATTTATTTTTTGGTAAAAAGCTGAGGGATATTGTCCAAAAATGTATCTCAGTGTATATTATTTATATATTTAGCTCCATTTGTGATGTATTGTTGTGTTTGTATATACACACCAGCCCTGCAGTAATAAATAATATTTAAATAACTATTCATAATTATATTATGAAAACATAGTAATCTATATTTATAAAACAATAGATTGGAAATAAACAGCATTAAGAGTATCCTAAAATTAGTACAAATGATATCACTGATGTATTATTTTTTCTTTTTTTTAAATATATTTTTATTATATATTTTTTTTTTCAGCAGCATTAAAAAAAATAAAATAAATTGAAGTAAAGTAACTAAAAAAGAAATAAATTCTAGTAATATACATTATATACCAAAAAAACAATGTCAGTACTGTGTTTAAAAAAAATAAAATAACATTTTTCAATGAATACTTATTTAAATAATTTGCATGCTTGAATAAATATTCACCCTAAATGTGATAGAAGCATACATGACAAAATAACAACTCCTTTCTTTGCCAGTTAATTCTGTAGAAGGCTTTGATTTTTATGTATGCATGTTAAAGAATTTCTATCTCGGATATAATGTAGAAATTATGGAGAACTAGGGGAGAAAGCAAAGGGGTCAGTTACTTAGAACAGCAGAATTTATGGGGCAGTAAGTTTTGAACAAAATTGTGTTTTTTAGTTAAATAAAACTTATATATTCCTCCTTTTTGATTTTTTTGAACTTAGTTCAATCAATAAAATGGTTCTATATTATGATATGATGGTATTTATTTTGAATTGTATATGTTATCTTAAATTCTGTTGATTTTAAACTGTTGATTTTTATTGCTGAGGGAAACAGTGGATGATTCAATTCAGTTGTTTTGGAAAAAAATCTAGTAGCAGCCCTGCCTTGGTTAGCTATCTGCTTTATGTTTGGTCCGAAAGTACAACAATAGACCTTCTACCTGTCTAAAAAAATTTGAATACTTGTTTCCAAGAAAATTAAATATAAACGTTTCAATAAGGAATAATCTATAATAATAACCCTTTCTTGTGATGCTTTGTAATATCTCTTTCCAAGTGCAGAGCTCAGACCTCGACTTCGCCATTTACAGCAGTGAATGGTATGTGGCGGATGTGAAGTTCAGGAAGGCCGCACAGATGTTGATGGTTAGAAGCAGGAGGAATGCTAACCTCACGGCTTTGAGGATGTATCCAGTAAACTTGGAAACCTTGGAAGCAGTAAGTTGGAATACCATACTTTGCAATTATTAAATCGATTCACCCATAAAAATAATAATATGTAATTGTAAAAGGATTGTTATATTTTCAACTTTAATTCATATTTCATACTGCAGCTTGCCAGAAAGTTCATTTTAAAAACAATAAAAGTATCGGTTTTATTTAAATGTAAACTGCAAAATTACAAAAAAAAAAAAAAAATGTTTAGTTCACAAGAAAGTTCCACATCAGATTTCATAGATTGCTCCCTAATAATAATAATAAAAGAGGGTGAAATTTTCTCCTTTCTGTGGTATTTCAGATTTATTTATAGATATATTTGGATCCATTGCTAAAAAATGATACATACAATTGAACTATGCCATTTTAAATAGAAATGTTGTTCTCAGAATAAGAGCTTGGCTGGTTCCCTACTCTCTGATATGGAAAAATTTATCAATCAAAATATATGCATCAAGTCATCTAATATAGCTATAGAGAACATCAGGCATCCACAAGACCTTAATACTATAAAATTATATAAAATTTGATGAGGTTTTCTAAATTGTCTGTTGTCAAAAAGTATCCATTAAGAGAAATCTCTCTGTTTATTATGATCCCTTTTCTACACAATAATATAGACTGAATGACACCCATGGCACTTAATAAGGACAGAAAATATTGCACCATTCATCATGCTCTTTAACATAGTTTTTGTCTGAACCAAATATTAAAAAAAAAAAAAAAGAAATTGTTTAATCAAAACCTTTTTAAAATGTAAAATATGCTGACACATCAATGCGGATTGGACTCTCAAAAAAACCATCTAAAAACCGAGAATCTATAAAATTAATGAATACTTGATTTCAATTCAAAGATTAATTATTATTTATTTATTTATTTATTTACATTGCTTTAGTAGAGTTTTAACTCAATAGCAAGGAAGTTGGTTTAAAACATTATACCTTTTAATCACACTTCCCATATTACAATCTTAAATATAAACTGTTACATCAAATATAACAACAGTCATTAGTAATAAAAATATAACTTTTGCTAAAGCATGATTTTTCTATACATACATATACTTATACAAAATATTAAGGATTAACTATACAAAAATAAATAAAACTATATAAACAAATAAATATATATTATGTTCCGTAAAAGTGAAAAAAAAGTTTTACTTTTTTAGCCAATAGATTAATCTATAGTGAGTGAGCGAATGCTGCAAGCTGACTGAAAAAATGGCACATTTTCTTAAATTCATTAGGGGCATTCAAAGGAAAAGTTACAAACAAAAACATTTTTTTTTTTTAATGGAATTGGGTAAAACATTATATCAGGTCGAATCATATATTGGACATTGTGCTAAGATAAGGTATAAATCTTTATTTATACTGGACAGTTATCTTTAGGGTCAAATTTGAATACAGTTTTCTCTAATTTCGGCAATGCAAACTTCCATATATACAGACAATTGGTTTATTTGTTGATATACATGTTAAGTTGACGTTTCGAGAAAATTATTTCCATCATCAAAATTTAAATCCCATATTTTCATAGTGATTTATGGCTAAAGTCTGATGTGCTTCTTTGTCATGATTTGTAATAAATATAATTAAAATATATTATCTGGAGCATCAATATTCCTATGAATATTGGGTGTCTGCTCTTAGAATAGAATAGAAAAATAATTTTATTCTGGGACAAAGTCCTTGAGAATAACAAAATAGAAAAAAATAAAAAGATTACATCTGGCCAAAATAAAATCAATCGAAAAAAAGAAATAATGTAAAGAAAATATAAGGTAGACATTTTATATACAAAACAAACGAAACTATATACAAAACAATTAATACTATGATAAGACACTTAAAGCTATTTGATCTGATAGACCAGTATACACTCTTAAGAAAATAATAAAGAATTAAAATTTTTACAGTTTTATTTATACATACTTTGAAACTATAATCATTGTCAGTCAAAGTTTAATAATAAATAATTAGACTAAATAGATTTGACTGTATTTGTATTCAGAAATATAGGTAAAAATTGAATACAGTTTGTTAGTAATCTTTCAAATTAAATTTCTAGGTTTGATATGGATTGATCAATGAATAGAGAATAACATAAAATATAGTTTTCATTCAATTATTTATTTTATCATTATTATTTCATTAATATAAGTGCTTTATTAACTGGATTTGATAAGGTAAATTTTCTCAGGACGTTAGTGATAGTTTGTATTGTTTTTGGTAGTAAGTGATAAATTTCTATAATTTTTATACTTCAAAAGTCTAAATATATATGTAGTATTGAAAATTATTAATCCTTGATCTTTTTTTTTTTTTTTTTTTCAGATTTTACAGTTCACTTACTCTGCCACAGCTTTGGCAATTGGTAATATTTAATAAATATTACATTTTAACAGTTTCAGTTGTTTTTTAAACGTAACATGCTTGTTTATTAACAATTGTTAAGAAATACTTTTCAAAGTGATATCTTATGAATAAAATGGATGCGAGGTTTAAAAAAATAAATAAAATAATTATAATGAAATATTTGTATACCCATGTTACCAAAAATATTAAATAAAGACAACTAAAGAATGTTGCACAGATAATTATGATTGTAATCACATAAATTAGTAATGTTAGCTATATTATTATAATATAAGTTATATTAGTATGATGCTAGTTATATTATTATTATTATTATGGTTATTTAAAAATATTATAAACTGTATCGTTAAAAATATTAAAAAATGGATGATTTTTTTTAGATAAATTATTCTTTGCTATTGATATCAATTGTTATTTAATATTAAAGTGAATGAAATATTCTTTGCTTGTGTGTTACTATTGAGGATGGGCATGAAATATTAGTCAGATATTTTATAATTATTAAATATGTTGTAGTTTTGTTTTTTATAGTTTATAATAAAATTATTTTCGTATAAATCATTTAATTTAGCAAATTCTTTGTCTATTTTTTTTTCTTTTTTTTTCTTTTCTTCTTTTTTTTTTTCCTATCCCACAGGAATTTCTTGATTACAAAATACAATATATATATATATATATATATATATATATATATATATATATATATGTTATTATATATTTATGTATATATACATAAATTTACAATTTCCTTTTATTGCTCAAGGGCATTTTAAGGTAAGAGGGCTATGCACGCTGTATGCGTTCTTTGCATCTGTGGCCAGAGGCCTTTTATTATACCACTGGGCATGGAGGGATCGCCCGACATTCTTTATGTCTATTATTATAAGAAATAATTTATATGAATTTTAATAAGACGAGAGGGGAAAAAAATAATCATTTTCTAAATTCTCACTGCATTGGATTTTTAAGATTACTGAATTCAATTTTGAGATAAGCTTTCGAAAATAAATAACTCCGATTCACTTTGAAGACTCTGACCACGTATGTCATTATGAAAAAGAAAAGACATTTCCAATAATTTGAAAATCGAAAGTAGAAAAATTTGTGTTTATTCATATGTTTAATAAAAATATTTTTAATTTATTATATTTTTGCCCCAAAGTTATTATTTAATAAACTAAGAAACAAATTTTAATTGCTCTAAGCTATGGAAAATATGCTTCCCTGAACAAATACAAAAATGGATATGATGTTCTTTACGTTCCGGGTACAGATATGTTATCAGTCATAATGCTTTAATTAAAATATATGTAATATTTTTATGTATTAGATAAAAAATATTTAATTTAATATAAACATATTAATTTAAATACGCTTATGTCAGATTCGAACCTAGTTGTGGCAGGTAATTATTCATTCTGTTACATCAGCCAAGGTTTGATCCTAGGGTCAAGAAATCTTCCTGGGGCACACCCTACCTCTATAAAGTGGGAACTCTTAATTGAATAAATGATTAAGGGGGAAACCATCGTGGTTTAGAATGATATTGACCCAATCACCTCCTTACAGAACCGTTGGCCTTGAAACAGTGCTTCTTAACAAATTATTGAACACTAGCCCACCATGGATCATAGTAATGTACACGTTATTTTAATTTTGTTATTGAAAATGTTTGGAAATTTTACGTTTAGTCTAGAAACAATTGTCGAAGAGATACTCAATGACATAAATAAATGTTTTCTGCTTCAATAAATAGTATAAATTTTGGGATAAGTCTGACACAGAATAAATAGTTCGTTCCTTTCAAAATAGATGTTTTCATTTGGAAATCAACCGTATTTTACAATGAGCGGTTTATTTTTAATAGGGCATATTATATACATTTAAAGAAATAATAATCAGCAGAAATGAGACAACATACCTTAGACAGTTAAACATTTAGTACTAGAGTCTCCCCAATATGAAAAACAGAGACAAAAATTAAAGTTGTCCACAAAATATTAGGATATTTTGCGAGACAAGGAGGAAAATGTCATTCACTTCCAATATTTAATCGAAACAAAATATTACAGCAGAATATAAAAATTAAGAATTACCGCCAATGGCCCTCTAGGGTAGAGGAAAATAGAAATAAAAAAATAAAATAATTCAAAATTTATAAGCACCTTATAAGCTATATTTGTCAAAAATATAACTATGTTAAAAAAAATTATTTGAATTAGTAACCCATACTTTAAATTTTTTTAAAAATATAGTACGCAATATATTAATATAAATAATCCAATACCCTTCCTACCTTTAAATCCCGCCAGTTCAATCATTTCTTATCCATCCATTCTCCATAAAATTGTAAATAAATATTACTGTAAATATGTATATAAATTATCAGTTTGTTCTTCATTATTTTTATTCATTAAGCTGAAAATTAATCTATACTCAGAGAGATATAATGATCTTTAGCTTTAGAACCAACATGATTCCAGCTAATTCTCCGAAGTTAAATTAGCTATAATTTTTTATTAATGGCTATTTAGGTTAAAGGCATGAATTGTTCACATGTCACTAATTATTGACACATTGGTGTCTTGTAAAGGGCACCAAGTTTGAAATCCTACATAAATCCAAATGCTTATTTAATCAAATTTAAGTTATAAGCATCAGTAATTGGAGACATGTCAATAATTGGTGCCTTTACCCTAGATTAATTTCATATTTTGTTTTTCAACGTTTTCCATCTTGATTGGTTATTCATAGCACTGTGCATTATTCCTGTTTTTATTATTTATGGAGTCACTTGAACCCTAAATGGTGAATTTCAAAGAACCATGGTTAATTTAGAAATTTTTAAATATTACACTAAAGCATGATTTTATAGAGGTGAATCAATGGGAAGGTTAATTATGCAGATTCCTCAAAATGAAAAAAATAAACCAGAATTAAAAAAAAAATCATTTCTTTATTTCTCATATAATTTTTACTAAAAGAACATGTTCAACTGTTAATTGTACGAACTTTTTAAACAAAGTACCTTTATTGGAGTAAAATTAACTGAAGTTTGTATGTAAATTAGATTATTATTTATCATTTAATACTTAAATTCATTTTTTGTAATAAAGATTCTGAAAGTCAAAGATGGATCTTTGCTATTGTTATAAGGTTTTTCTTTGATATCACTGGAAATTCAATTTACTAAACTTTTTTCTTTTCTCATTAACTATCTAAAAGTTTCATAAGGCAGGATTTTTCGAGTATAATTACCTATACATATCCATGTAGCAATGTTTATACTTTTAAATAACAATATATTAAATATTTAATAGTTGAACGTTGCATTATAAAGGAAGGAGATGGTCCGGGGCTGCGGTCATAAAAAGGCTAAATAGTGGTAAAACTAATAAATAGTAATAGTAATAGTAAATAGTAATAAAACTAATAATAAAATAGTTTTACCACTATTTAGCCTTTTTATGACCGCAACCCCGGACCATCTCCTACCTTTACAATTTATTATTTATGTTTTTTATTAGTTACTATTGTATTCTTTGTAAGGATTGTCTGGAGCATTGTTTCCAACATATTTTTTTTAAATTTTCCTTTGGGACAGCCAGATTTTCACTTTTTTTCATTAAGAACAAACTTAAAAATTGCTTCTGCCTAAATACACACACATCAATATGTATTATTATATGAAACTAGTTGTTTTATGTCTGTTTTACTTTTTTGATTCATCTCTTCCTCACCTTCTAGGCTTTATAGTGTTTTCCTGGGTCAAGGGAGAGAGAGCGGAGGATTAATGCCAGAGTTAAAACGTTTCAATGGTTTTCACTAAGCAATTAACCAATGACAATTAAGTTCTTTTTAGGAACCAAGCATTATTTTTTAGATCACAATAAATCATATTAATTGAAATTAAATGAAAATAGCCTTTATTTATGCATAAATATTACAATTTCTATGAAAACATACAATTACAAAAGAAAATAAAACAATTTTTTACATGATTATAATTTATACAAAACTTTTTACTATTCTTGCATAGACCTTTCCCTTAGGAATAATAGTCTTTAACACTTCCCTGGGTGACTAGCCCTACTGGGAAGTGGAAATCATATTAATTAAACAATGATAAATATACTTTAATAACGAATCCTTCATCATTACTTTCAGTGGGATTTTACTTGACTTCATGTAATTTTGATAGAAATTATGTCTAAGAACATTTTGAAATTTATTTTTAGAAGGGTCAAAAGGCACATAATTTGAAGGGATGCACAAAAAACTGAGAGCTACAGTATGCTCGCCGTGGATCTGAATCCTTCTGAAATACTTCAATAAAGTAATATAATATGTATTTAATTGGAGCATTAATAAAAATGTGATAGTTTAAAATGTCTTACCTTAAAGTAAACATCAGTAATCCTAAGTTTAGAAAAAAAAATTTCACAGATTACTGATATACCTACAAAGATACATAAATATACTTGGTATACCTAGTTAGTATAATTTATTTATTTTTTATACATAAAAACAGAGGATTAAAACTTTGTTTTTGTAATTAACAAAAATCTTCATGATCACTAATGAAAACTAGGTGCCAAAAAGTATATTAAATTCACTTTATTTGTCTTACTAATATAAAACATTATGTGCTGTTAATGATCTGAGTGGATAGTAAATTGAACTTTTTATCACAATATATGCTAATATATTAAAAAAAATATATATGTATATTCATATTGGTACATATTAAAATATATATATATATATATATATATATTATATATATATATATATATAATATTATATATATATATATATATATATATATATATATTAAAATATATATATTCACATTGGTAAACATTAAAAAACATCAACATTAAAACAAAGCAAAGAATAAAATTCAAACTTGTCATTTAGTTTATCTAATTGATAGCTTTCATTCCCTTTTATTTATGATATTTCCTCTTTTTTTTTTTTTAAATTTAAATGTTAATGAATTGAAAATC